TCAAGGTTGTTAAACGTTCAGTTCTTTGTTAAACACGGTGATATATTTGACAAATAAACAAACACAATCTTAGAGTTTTTGCACAATGGAGGGAATTTATTCCTCGTGTTTTCTTAATTCGGTGGTATGAATTGCGAATGTTTCCTTTTGAACAGTATCTTCAGCGTTAACCTTAATTTGAAGGAGAGCCTTGGGAATTCTTCACATTAACTGTACATTTAAATAATTTTTATAGTGTAATGAGCGTTCAATAGGTAAAATCAGAACTGTGTTTTAAGAAGGTAGAAATAAAATGAAATACCTAATAGAGTCTATGACAAATGTATTTTGTAATCCCTCACGACATATATTAAAATTTAATACATAGAAATGTGTGTATTTCATAATCCAGGGAATTTAATCACATTATAAGATTTAGTTGTGAGTTGTGTGTAACGTTAGACTACACATTGCAATTCGACCAAAACACAAATTGTGTGATAAGCTGAAGCAAATCAATAAATTAATTGAAGGGATAACTTATGTTTACTTCATTGTACTTTTTATTAGCCTTTTTTAAAAATAATAGAAAGACTGCTTTTACTTAACCTTGGACATTCATTGAAGCTTTTAACTACCCTAATCAATTTGCTTATGATCATAGTAGGTGAACTTTAGATGCCAGCGAAGCAGTTGCGTCTCCAACTAGATCGAGACTCTGAGTCCCTATTTAAGGTGGAAATAGCAAAACGTGTATCTGAGGTCAACAGCAGGACTCCTCCTGAGGTAGCCTGGCACAACATACAGTTAGCTGTAGACAGCTGTAAAAGCTGTTAATAACCTAAAACCAAAAGTTAGTAAGAGCCATTGGATCTCTACCGCCTCATCCGAACTGATTGACGCTAGAACACTGATATTTTCGAGCTATGATTATGATGAGGAGCGAAAGCTATTCAAACGCAAACTTACAAGCAGCCGCCGTAACGACCATGAACAGTGGTGGGCAACAAAAGCGAAAGAGATGGAAAAGGCATCGGCGATTGGTAACACCAGACAACTGTTTAGGCTTATCAGGGAAACAGGTGGTAAAAGGCGAACGATAAGTGAAACAATCTCTGAGAGAAATGGCACCATAATTGGCTCCCCCGATAGACGACTGGAACGCTGGAAAGAACACTTTGAGGAGCAGTTTAATTGGCCTACAGCCACGCTCAACTTACCGAACATCCAACATCTCCCTGAATGGGATATAGATACAGGTCCACCATCCCTAACTGAGGGTACTAAGGCTGCCACTAGTCTGAAACGAGGCAAAGCAGCAGGACCTGATGGAATGGCTCCAGAGGTATTTTAGTACGGTGGAGACAGTTTACTGTCTGCGTTAACTAAGGTACTAGGCAGCGTCTGGGAATCAGAGGAAGTCCCGATGGGTTGGTGTCAGTCACTGATTATCTCGATATACAAGAAGGGAGACAAGTCTTCCTGTGACAACCACAAGGGGATTAGCTTGACTAATATGGTATCCAAAGTTCTAGGCTCAATAATAATGCGTAGACTAAGCGGTGCTCGGGAGGAACAAACACGAGAGAACCAGGCAGGCTTTAGACCAGGAAAAGGGTGTATTGATCATATCTTCACCCTTCGACAGATTCTGGAACATAGGCATACTTACCGGCGTCCAACAATCGTCATATTGCTTGACCTAAAGGCGGCATTCGATTCTGTCGACCGAGAGGTACTATGGCGACGCTTAGCTGTAAAGGGAATGCCGAGAAAATACATTGCACTGATCAAGACACTCTAGTCGAAATCATGCAACCAGGTGAGGGCTTACGGCGAGTTGTCATCTGAAGTGGTGACAACTAATGGTGTCCGTCAGAGATGCCCACTATCCATATTTCTACTCAATTTCATCATAGGTGTACTAATGGAATTAACCCTAACTCACTTCAACGACTCAGGGATTGACTTGTTACCAGGGTATAATCTCGTTGACTTTGAATATGCAGGTGACATAGAGTCCTTCTAGGTGAAGACGCTGACAGAAACCGAGCAGAGTCTTCTGAACGCCTCGGGCTGCAATCTCCAAATGTTTGGCATGCGATTCGCTCCCACCAAATGTAAGATGATGTTACAGGGAGTGAAGTGGTAGGGCGTGTTGACCGCTTCACTTATTTGGGAAGTTGCATCAGCCACAACGAATTGATCGCTGACGAAATCTCAGCACGGGTACAGAAGGCTCGTTTCGCATATGCCAGTTTACGCCGTCTCTGGCGTAGGCGTGATATCCGGCTGTCGACCAAAGGGTGGATGTACTGCTCAGCAGTCCTCTCCTTCCTCTTTTATGGCTGTGAGTGAGACCTGGCCATTGAGAGTGGAAGAAATGAAAGGCTAGCTGTCTTTGATTATAGGTGCCTGCGTCCCATCTCCCGTGTTAGGTAGTATAATAGGGTGAGAAATATTGAGGTCAGTCACCGGTCGAGTGCTAGGTAGGTGGGAGGGGAAATCAATAGACGAGGCTGTGAAGCTACATCGACTGAGATGGTTAGGACATGTGTTACGTATGTCTAGCCATCGCCTTCCTCGACGGGAAATCTTAGCTGACATAGGGTAGGCTTGGAAAAGAGCCAGTGATGGTCAAACCAAAACATGGCAACAGTCAATGAAATCCACAGCAGTTAGTTTAAGCCACATAGGAAGGTGTAGACTTTCTGGTTGGGGTCCTTGCGACGGTAGAACTAATGGCTCGAAACAATTGGTGATATGGCTGAAAATCGTTCCCAATGGCTGACGCAGATGCATTCACTCCTTGTGGCTTATAATACCCAATGAAACTATATGGTTTTTTTATATTACTATTCTTTTTGCTTCATATCCCTGTTTACTGTCTCTAATATACATTTCTTCAATCTTCTCTTTCGTTGTGTGCCACATGGAGTGTGGCGATTCGAACTCCTGCACATTGGTGCAAAGTACTGTGTTGAAAAGAGACCGACTTTAGATGCATTTTTTGTCTGATATCATACTGCTGTGTCTATTGTATATAGAGGTGCGATATATGTTCGCTGTTCCTTCCCAGAATACACAGTGCTTGACTAGTGAATGGTTGTATTCCTGTTTTTCTGATAAGAGGCAGTACACTGCTTACAATGGAAAGTCCTCCACTACTTCACTTACTAGTGTTCCTCCTGGAGCTCTGCCTTCTCCTTTTTTGTTTGCTTTCTTCTTATATGACTTGCCCAGTCCTGACGTTGCCAATTTTTGGTTAAGTGTGCCTATGATCTTGCTGTTTATATGCGTGTCACTTCTCAGTTAGACTATTCAAGAATGAATAACTTTTTATCATAAATTAGTCAGTGGTTCTCGTCAAATGGTCCTAAGCTAAATCGCTCTATATGGCTGGAGCTTAATTTAACTTTCAGATAGAATCGTGATTTACGTGAACTGATTAGTTCACACACTTCCGCTATCATAAACGTCACAGAAGTTGAAACTAAATCGAATGTTTAATGACTTAAACTGTATATTTCGTCTGATCTTTCCTGGTCTTCCCACATCATGTTAGTTTCCAGAAATATATTTCATTTGACGTTCTACGTAAGGAAGTTAAGACTATATGGAATAATTGCGTCTACGCTATTACTGTTTGTTGATTCTTGTATTCTGCTTATTCTTCTTTACTGCTCCCCATTAATCTTTCCCGGCCTTCTTAAGGGAAACCGTGTTATACTGTGTAGGGCACTAGAAGTCGCCAATAGGGCGAGTTAGATGTTGCTAAACCATGTCGGTGATACTGTTGTAGATGGACACATGGATTCCTGCAAAAAATTAGCTAATATTATCTTGTCAGACTCTGAGTATCCTCTCTATGCACATCTCTCCTTACATCTCATTGGATATAACTAAAAGCAACTATAGGAGATTGTTTGCTCGAACGACTAAGTACAAAAACTCTACAATTCCTTATTTGGCAGGTACACATTTTGTATGATGAGGAAAGTGTAAGCAGGAAATTACCAACTTACTGCGAAACTCTAAGTGAACGTCCCCATTTTTTCTCATTGTTATACTGCTGTAAATATTTTCAGCTAGTTTAATCTTTTATTCATTTCTTATTGAACAATATTACCAATATGAATACCCTATTGTAATTATTACCCGTGTAATGAGAAAATTAGATGCAATATTGTATTATTACATGCTGAAAATTCCATATTTGTACCAAAATCACTGTGCCGAATAAAGTTATTATTATTATTGTTGTTTAGATAGGTAGTGCCAACTGAAATGATCTCTTTTTTGTTTTTAAATGTTGGTTCTTTACATTTCACATTAGAAAAGTAAAGGTGTGATTATTCATCAACTTTCAGTTTTTCATGTTTCTTTGAAGAAAACTTCCTTAATAATATATAAGTGAAACTGTCATTTAAGATTTTTAAGGCCTAAAGGAATCCGCTGAATGATGGAACTTGCATGGATCCTTACAGATGTGTAGATGAAGGCAGATAAATAGGCAAATATATCTTGCAAATAACATTAATTAAAAAGTTATATTTTTGGATGACCACGATATCGTATTGTAAATGTATACCTTAAGCAAAAGTTTCTCGTTGATTATGTCTTAATCATTATTAATGTCCCACTATAGGATAACTTGTCATTTACATCAATTGAATGCTCAAATATTCTGAAATCTGGAGGTTGTTTCTCCTCCCTGTTTTAAGTGATTGTTGTTTATGGTTGTTTTGTTTTCTGAATTATTCTTCTTTTGGATTGTGTGGGTCGTTATTTATTCTTTGTAGTCTTGATCAATATGATGACTTGTCTGTGCTTTTCGTAATGTTAGGGGTATGTATATCTGTTGGTGTTTGCTGTTCATTTGGCAATAAAGCTTGAGGTAGATCTGTAGATCGATTATTGCCTCTCAGGTCAAAGCATTCATTTAGCTAAAAGTTGTAAATGAAATGAATCATATTTACATTTTGAACTGCAATAATTTTTCAAAGTTATTTTCTCTATAGTTGTGGAGATGGTGTTAACTGGCGTTGGCGTTTGAACCATTCTGTTCAAAATAATAACTTAGAAGCTGGTAATGCGAATTCACCTACGCCTTCAATGACAAAATTGCGCTGATACTGATTGAAAGAAGTGAAAATATAAGGAGAAGTCAAAATTCGGATTATACTGCTGTACCACACTCTCTAATGAATGTATTTTCCTTCTGTCTACTTCATTTTCTGAAATACACTATATATTGATTTCAACATACTTGATACCTGTATTTATGCGTGTATGCGTACTTCTGGTTTACCATGTCAAAGGAGCCTCACGTTGTTAAAAGAAAGTACCTATCAGATTTTACAAAGTCTATAAATGTTTCTTCTTATACACCACTCATTTGTTTTCTTTTTGTGCATTCTGGCCTACTTTCTCAAAAGTGAGGTGAATTTAAACCCAACAATTATCCCAATACAATTTACTGTTGCTGTTTAAAATCTTCTAAAATTATCCTGATTTCAGTATTCTTTCATCACCGTTTTATTCGGTCCCCATCTATGTTTGCTGTTCTTAAATTTTTCTGTTTAAGCATTTTTGATTTTTCAACTGATACAATTTGTTGTAGGAGAGCTATTGTTGACTTCAGATAATTCGCGTACATATCCTTCTCTTTAGATGAAATCGTGGAAAAAACAGTGTATCCATAATACACATGGATATTCCAATTTACTGATCAGTTTACTTTCAGTAAGGCCTATCATAATATCCACAATTACAGATAAGATTTTATTTTGATAAATCACACAGTGTTACAGTGTTATTACAGTATAACACTTTGTGATTTATCACAATAAAATATTACCTATAATGGAGTTATACTGTACCACAGTGACCAAGTTTTATACTTATATCAATATCCACAATTATATGATAATTTCTTCCTAAAAGGCTTTTGTCTTTGGGTGTATTATGTCAGCGTTTATCGTGACATATTGAATCTAATTAACCAAGTTTGTTTAAGCTATGCATTACTTTTAAGGGTGTTTCAATATTTTCGTGCCTTATCTAATGCCATTCTTTTACTTTTTCATAGTATGTGGCACAAAATCGAGTTATTTTCATATAAATATCGTAGAACACTTCAGTCCTGTCTAATATTATTGGCAAATGAGGTATCTTTTTGTTATTTTCCTGTCGCGTTTTGATGTTTTTCAAAACAATGTGTATTTCGATTTACAACTCGATGATAGCTAACATGTGAATGTAAATTCATTGATCTGAAAGGCCCAAATGAAATCTCGTACATGTTTATAACCGTACAACTTTGTTCATTTTTAGAGGAAGTGATTAGACAGTTATAAACTACTTTCTATGTGTTGTGTACTAGACAAGTTCTTATGGTCTAACTAA